CCACCAACTGCTGGGGGGCCGCCGCAGCCTGGGCCCCCGCTTCCTTCCCTGGGCCTCCCGGGACCCACAGCCAGTGCCACAGCCACCTCTGCCCCTGCCGCGGTGTCCTCGGGCCCCCCAGCCACACCTGCAGCGCCTGCCGCCTCCGCGGATGGGAATGCCACCCCGGCCGCCCCACCCGGGGTGGCCATGCCTCCCCCCACCACTGCTGGCGGGGAGGGCCCGTTTGCCTGCCCCCTCTGCTGGAAGGTCTTCAAGAAGCCCAGCCACCTCCACCAGCACCAGATCATCCACACGGGTGAGAAGCCCTTCTCCTGCTCCGTGTGCAGCAAAAGCTTCAACCGCAGGGAGAGCCTCAAGCGGCACGTGAAAACGCACTCGGCCGACCTGCTGCGCCTGCCCTGCGGCATCTGCGGCAAGGCCTTCCGCGACGCCTCCTACCTCCTCAAGCACCAGGCGGCCCACGCAGGGGCGGGGGCCCCGCGCCCGGTGTACCCGTGCGACCTGTGCGGGAAGACCTACTCGGCCCCGCAGAGCCTGCTGCGGCACAAGGCTGCCCACGCGCCACCCGTGGCCGCCGAGCCGGCCAAGGACGGGGCGGCCTCGGTTCCGCAGCCGCCTCCCACCTTCCCCCCGGGCCCCTACCTCCTGCCCGCGGACCCGACCACCCCCGACGAGAAGGCCACGGCTGCCGCAGCGGCTGTGGTGTACGGTGCGGTGCCTGTCCCCCTTCTCAGCGCGCACCCGCTGCTGCTCGGTGGGGCCGGGAACGGCGGCCCCGGCGGCGCGGGCACCGGCGTCCCAGGCAAGACCTTCTGCTGCGGCATCTGTGGGCGGGCGTTCGGGCGCCGGGAGACCCTGAAGCGCCACGAGCGCATCCACACCGGGGAGAAGCCCCACCAGTGCCCAGTGTGCGGGAAGCGCTTCCGTGAATCCTTCCACTTGAGCAAGCACCACGTGGTGCACACCCGGGAGCGGCCCTACAAGTGCGAGCTGTGCGGCAAGGTCTTCGGCTATCCGCAGAGCCTCACGCGCCATCGCCAAGTGCACCGGCTCCAGCTGCCCTGCGCCCTGGCCGGAGCCACGGGTCTCGCCACGGGCCAGGGGGCCGCGGGGGCCTGTGGCCCCGGGGCTGCGGGCACTTCAGGTGGGCCCGCCGACGGCCTGAGCTACGCCTGCTCGGACTGTGGGGAGCACTTCCCGGATCTCTTTCATGTCATGAGCCACAAGGAAGCCCACATGTCCGAGAAGCCATACGGCTGTGACGCCTGCGGCAAGACCTTCGGCTTCATCGAGAACCTCATGTGGCACAAGCTGGTCCACCAGGCCGCCCCGGAGCGTCTTCTCCCGCCAACGCCCAGTGGCCCCCAGGCCGCCGACGGCTCCAGCGGCGGCGGCACCGACGCATCCAGCGTGCTGGACAACGGACTGGCCGGGGAGGTGGGGGCGGCTGTGGCAGCGCTGGCCGGCGTGTCTGGGGGCAGCGAGGATTCGGGTGGGACGACGGTGACCGGAGGGGGTGGCGGGACCACTTCAGGCGCCGAGCGCTTCAGCTGTGCCACGTGCGGCCAAAGCTTCAAGCATTTCCTGGGCCTGGTGACTCACAAGTATGTGCACCTGGTGCGCCGGACCCTGGGTTGCGGCCTCTGCGGCCAGAGCTTTGCGGGCGCGTACGACCTGCTCCTGCACCGCCGAAGCCACCGGCAGAAGCGGGGCTTCCGCTGCCCGGTGTGCGGGAAGCGCTTCTGGGAGGCGGCCCTGCTGATGCGCCACCAGCGCTGTCACACGGAGCAGCGGCCCTACCGGTGCGGCGTGTGCGGCAGAGGCTTCCTGCGTTCCTGGTACCTGCGGCAGCACCGGGTGGTGCACACCGGCGAGCGCGCTTTCAAGTGCGGGGTGTGCGCCAAGCGCTTTGCGCAGTCCTCCAGCCTGGCCGAGCACCGGCGTCTGCACGCCGTGGCCCGGCCGCAGCGCTGCGGCGCCTGCGGCAAGACCTTCCGCTACCGCTCCAACCTGCTGGAGCATCAGCGGCTGCACCTGGGCGAGCGCGCCTACCGTTGCGAGCACTGCGGCAAGGGCTTCTTCTACCTGAGCTCCGTGCTGCGCCACCAGCGCGCCCACGAGCCCCCGCGGCCCGAGCTGCGCTGCCCCGCCTGTCTCAAGGCCTTCAAGGATCCTGGCTACTTCCGGAAGCACTTGGCCGCCCATCAGGGCGGCAGGCCCTTCCGCTGCTCCTCCTGCGGTGAGGGCTTCGCCAACACCTACGGTCTGAAAAAACACCGCCTGGTGCACAAGGCTGAGGGTCTTGGGGGACCCGGAACAGGGGGAAACGCCTTGGCCGGGAAGGATCCCTGACCCGGAGGTTTCAGTGGGCCACTACAATCAGACGTTCCGAACCTTCTGGACTCTCCCCTTCTGGGACTGCTGGTCAGACTCTCCCCACCCTCCTCACTGTTACCCATTCTAAAAAACTACAGATGGTCTAGCTTCCTCCCTATCCCGTGCCCTCTAAACTGAAGATTACATTGCTCCAATCCCAGGCCATTCTGGCCCTTCCTTCCTCGTCCGTCACACACTGAACTTGATCCTCCGTCCAGCCTTCTTTTGTAAACCTCATCGGCTACCTAGCAGCATTTTGGCTCCAGTGAACTCTGGTGGAGACGGGTCCGAACTACTCACCGCCTCCACTTCCTTTGGGATCTGGCTGGACAGTGGACTATGAACAGAGTTGGGAGGGCACAGGTGGGGGTCTGGGTGCTCTTGGATTGGGGGGGTGGGGGGAAGACGCGGCTTGTACAGAGCAGAGAACAATAAATCGTATCAACAGGGCCGCTGGGGTCTGTCCTTGCTGTTCCTGGGGGATTCTGATGACTGGATGGACACACAGCACCTCACAGTCTCTTCACCTGGGTTGAGTGAGGATTTGCCATGTCCCCGGCATTGGCCTCTGAACTGGGCAAGTGGAGAGCCGTGAGACAGGTAAGTCGATCTCTCAGGAACGGATTTGAGATTTCAAGGCTCCCCTCACCATGCTCTCAACCACTGTGACCTGAAGCCTCCTGTCTGCTAGGTCCTGACCTGGGTACTAGGGAAACACGAATTGATTGGACATGACCTTCACACTCCAGTAGGCTGAGAGAGCACACCTGTGGAACTTAGCACATTCTGCAGACTTTCTGGAGACAGGATCTCATGTAGTCTAGGCTGGCTATGGACTTGCTGCTGAGGTAAGACTAGCCTTGATTTTTTTTCTCTCTCTTTTTTTGAGACGGTCTGTCTATGTAACCCAAGGCTGGCCTTGAACTCACAGAAATCTCCCTGCCTCTACCTCCCTGGGACTGACATTAAAAGTGTATACCACTACAGCTGGCTAAATCTTGAACTTTCTGTATTTAGCCTTTTATTTTTATTTTAAAAAGTATGTGTATGGTTATTCTGCCCGAAAGTATGTTTGTGTACCGCTTGGCGCCTGGCGCCCATGGAGGGCAACAGAGGCCTTGGGATCCTCTGGCCCTAGAGTCACAGGTGGTTGTGAGCAGCCATGTGGGTCCTGGGATTCAAACCCTGATCCTTGGAAAGAGCAGTTAGTCCGCTTAACTGCTGAACCATCCCTTTGGCCCAAACTTTATTTTATTCTCAATTTTATACATCTATGTGTGCGCGCACACACACACACATCCCTTTGGTTGTACCTATAAAGCCGCCACTGTGCTCTTACCCCCTCAACCTCCCGATGAACCCTTTCTTTCCAACAGGCTCCTCTGCTTGCCTATCTTTTATTCTCTTGGTGACCTATTGTGTTTAGTCACAGTTGCTTGCATAAACATAGGTTGGATGGCTTATTTACCCAAGCAAGGGCGGGCTTACCAATAGCTACACCTTTGAGGAATATGACCCCCCTTCCCTAGGCAACCATTAACTGTCTATAGCTCCTCAGAGAAGAATAGGGCTTCAGGAGACTCTTCCCTGAGACTACAAACTTCTGATCTGCCTGCTTCCACTTCCAGAGTGCTGGGAAGATGGACATGTGCTGTTATGCCTGGTTTCTGTGGTGCTGGAGATTGAACCCAGGTATCCTGCATGCTAGGCAAGCACTTTAGCAGCAAAACTGCACCCCAGCTCCACTGCCCTCTTTTGATGGAGCATACAGACTTCATTAGCGCCCAGCCCCCCCCCCCCATCTTGTTGAATCAGAACACCAAGCCTGAGTATCAGTTGCTGTATTTCCCCTTTTCCTGACTGGCCACTTATCCACACTGCCAATGTGTTGGTGGTCCCTTCTGTTGTTTTTTAATTTTAATTTTTAAAATTCTTTATGTGCATTGGTGTTTTGCCATAGAACTGGAGTTACAGATAGTCATGAGCTGCCATGTGGGTGCTGGGAATTGAACTCGGGTCCTACTGTAAGGGCATTCAGTGCTCTTAACCACTGAGCCATCTCTCCAGCCCGGTGGTCCCTTGTGAAAGCAACAGGGAGTTTCTGTTCAGTGGCAAGACTCCATGTGAGACAGGGAAGAAGACAGGACCTGACACGCACTGCTGTGGGCATCCAGACATGAGGCCACTGTTGGCAGGGTCTACAAGAACAGACGATGAAAAGAAGTGCTTAACTGCTCATGATGGGAGACTGATCAGAAATAAGGCTAGGGAAGAAGGGGGCTTAAGGAACCCGTGTATGTTTCTAGCTTCAGCTAGGCGCCAGTGAGACAGGAAGCAGGTTCCTTTCTTTAGAGGAAATGGTGAGTTTTATTATGCATCATCTCAGGGTCATCTCTTGGGGATGCTGGATGAACAAGGACTGAACTAGCAACACATTTTCTCCATGAGAAAATCAAGGACTCATCTGAGTAAGTGCACCAACCTCCAACATTCTTTCATGGCACAAAACTTCTTACAACACAGCCGCACAGCCAAAGCCTAGTCCCTCCCCATTCCAGATAGAGGAAAACCGAGGCAGAGCAAGGTACCCAGAGAACTGGAATACAAGACGGACAGAGAAGCACTTCAGAAAGTCTTTTAATAGGAACAGACTGGAAGCCCCTATCCCACCCCAAACTCCAGCTCCGGAGTCCTTTTAGCCCCTTACATCAGTGTCTTCTCTTACTCTACACCAAGGTTATCATCAGCCAGCCCTTCCTCTGAATTGCCCGGGGTAAGCAGGAAGCTATCTACCTCACCGTGGAGGAAAACAGAGAAACGGAAACTTCTTTGTAGCCATGGGAAACCACAGGCTCTGTGCCTAAAGCTTAAAGGTGTACCAGGTGATTGCTTGCCTGCAGTGTGTGCTCTCAGTTGCTTCCAGAAGGGTCTGGTAGGCTAAGGAGAGACCACTATGGGGTAGGATGGAGAGGTGAACAGAGCTTAGCATTAATCTCCATGGGCAGGCTCACATCCTAGAGATTCATGGATTAGATACTCTGGTTTTGAGGGAGAAGGCATCCCAGTATTTCTTTAGAGATGGCCTGGTGGGCATCTTCTGCCCAGGGAGGGTAGACATCCCAGGACCAGTGCAATCCAGTTGAGGTAGGCAAAATATTTCATACTAGTTCACCTTAGGGCAGCCCCTACATGGTCCAGAGGTAGTCCAGAGGTGGTGGTGGTGGTGGATAAAGTCTTGCTTTGCAGCCTGGGCTGGTCTGGACCTCACAATCCTCCTGCCTCAGCATCCAGAATACTGGTCTTACAGGAACGGGCCATGCTCAGCTGTCTCTGTATTTTCACATGTAGCTGGACATCTATAGAATTGCAGGTACCTCTTTCCTGAGTCTCAAGTGTAGTGCGGGCTTCTTGGAGACCAGAACCTGCTGGCTTCTCACCTCTCCAATCCCAGCTGCTCATTATTTCTCCTTGGCTTTTGCCTCTATTAGTCCATCCACTTCCTCTATGGCATGCTTCCTACTCCCCAGCCTACTGGTCAACCTCCACATTCACCTTCACAGTCTCTCCGAGCCCTTCTTCGGTAGTGTTCTCTGTCCCACGCTTGCGCCCCGATTCCTGGGCCACCGAAGTTGGTCTCAGTTGGCCTCCAGACTCTCCCACCCCAGGCCCTGGCCCGTGGAAGTGGGTGCGCTGGTGTTTGCGAAAGTTCGAGGAGTTATTGAAAGTGCGGTCGCAGAGCGTGCAGCGGAAGGGGCGCTCGCCAGTGTGGATACGGGCGTGACCGCTCAGCACAGAGGACTGTGTGAAGCCCTTGCCGCAGATGCCGCAGTGGTAGGGCCGCTCCCCGGTGTGCACACGCTCGTGGTCTCGCATGTCTGAGGAGCGCCGGAAGGGCTTGGTACAGAACCTGCAGGCGAAAGGCTTGCCTACCGCGGCCCCCGCAGCTGCCGCGGCCATCACCACCTCCGACCTCTCCTGGGCCACCCTGGGGTTTGGCTGTCCAGTTGATGCTGTGGGTGGAAGCCTCCGAGGGTTGCCCGGCTCCACCCCGTGTCGGTGCTGGTGCCGGAGCAGGGGTGCCAAGGCCTTAAACGCGCGTGGGCAGAGTGGGCAGCGGTAAGGCCGCTCTCCCGTGTGCAAGCTGTAGTGGGCACGCAGGCTAGCAGGACCCGGACAGCTGTGGCCACACACGTGACAACGGCTTGCGTCCCCTCCCTGCCCAAGCCCCTCCACGGCTGCCAGGTGGCCATGTTCGTGAAACAGCAGCTCTGAGACCAGGTGGAAGGCCGCGGGACACAGGGCACAGTGGAAAGATCCCGGCTCTGGGGGTTCAGGTACCGATGTCGTATCTGTAACTTTTACCACCTGGATCTCGATGAGGTCACTTGGGGGAGTGGCAGAGTAACCACCATCAGGCACCAGGACCTGGAGAGCAGAAGAAACGGGAGGCTGTGTGGAGGTCCTGCTGGGAGAGCATCTTCAAAATGCCTCCACTTGTTAAAACACTTGCCCGGGCTGGGGAGACGGCTCACTGGGTAGACACTGGCCAAAGCTAATGAACTGAGTAGGATCCCTGCGACCCGCAGGGTAGAAAGACAGAACTGACTCCCCCAAGTTGCCCTCTGACCTCCACATGTCTGTGCTATGGCACACATGCACACTCTTTCCTCAAATACATGAATAAAATTTTAAATAAAATATTTGATCCTCTGAAGTCCACTGGATCCTTGTTTTTTAATGATTTATTATTTACTTATGTTGAGACAAGAGTTTCACTATATAGCCTTAACTGGCCTGGTACTTGCTGTGTAGACCAGGCTGGTCTAGAACTCACAGAGATCCGCCTGCCTCTGCCTCCCAAGTACTGAGACTAAGGGCATGTACCATCAGGCCTGAGTTTTTATGTGTATGTGTGAGTGCCTGCGTTCACCACAGGTGTACAATGCCTATGGCGTGCAGGAGTGAGGGCCAGATCCTCTAGAAGTGAAGTTGGTTGTGAGCCTCCATGTGGATGCTGGGAACTGAACTTCTAAAAGAGCAGCTAGTGCTCTTAACTGCTAAGCCATCTCCCCAGACCCGGCCACTGGTTTCTTGACCCTATTATCCACGATCCAGAATTCTTGCTGTATCCAGTTGGCATTTCCTTTTCCTGCCCCAAATATACCACAGACACAGACGTGCCTCTCCTCTATGCTAGTTAAAAGCCTCATCGTTTCTTGCCCTTACAACTGGAAACCACCACTCCGAGGGAATCCCTGTTCCTGCTTCTGCCCCTCATTACCCACCTCTCTAGAGCACCCCGAATGGACTTTGCAAAATGTAAACGAGGTCATGCATTTTGCTGCTCCACGCTGCACTTGAAACCCTGTGTCGTCCCTATAATATCCACCAGGATCTGGATCCCGCTTATCTCACTGACAGCCATGGAAATATAAGCCGTCACCCAGCTGACTTCTGCCGTCTAAATTTAGCTCGCCCCACCCCCGCTCTGTCAGTTTACTTTTTATTTCCCTTATAGAAGATATTACAGTGAATTATGTTTAGTATCACTCCTCCTCACAAGACAGCAAGCTGCAAGAGGACGCAACCTCTGTCTGCTTTGGTCCCCTGAAACTCAGTACGTGTTTGTTGAACATTCCGAGTTACTCTCCAGTCACGGGTTGGAGGTTCCAAAGCCACCTGGCACATCCATTTCTCCGCCAGAATCCTCCCTTGGGCATTCACAAGGCAGTCCTTGTATTGTCACATGCCACCCCAACATGGTGACCGGATTAGAACTCCCCTTTGGGGGTCACCTTCCCCACCATCCCCTGGCCCTAGAATTTCCCAGACGGCCCGCTCCTCCTAAGACTCCACCCCTCTCTATGCAAATCAGCTCCCTGGTCCTCCGCTGGACCTAACCCTGTCCTCAACGCAACCTGCCTCTCCAGGCCCCGCCTCCACCAGGCCCCGCCCCTCGCTCACCATAGGCCCCTCCCTAAAGCCCCGCCCCCGGAGTGTGCCCATGCCCCCGCCCAGTCCCGCTAGGCCCCGCCCCCTGTCCTGCGACCTCCTTCGCCGTGAACACCCGGCCCAGACCCCTTCGTCGCCCGCACCAGGTCCGACGGCTCCGGGGATGGCGACTCCCGGGTCGGTGAGCTCGGAATCGGGGGGTCCGGGCGCGCGGCGGCCATCTTGTAGCTAAACCCCGTCCCTGAGGCCGGGGATCGCTCCGCGAGGGGCGGGGCCCCGGCTGGCGGTGCTGCGCAAGCGCGCGGCAGGGCGGCGCGGAGGCGGGGCCGTAGTGGGTAGATGGGTGGGGCCGCGGCGGGGCGGGGCAGAAAGCCTGTCAGTCCTCCACCAGGACAGACAGAGCTCCTAGCTGCGAGGTCGGCCAGGTCCTGGAGACCGATTCCGACGTCGTTCCCCTTCCCTTTTTAAAAATTATTGTCTAGGCAGGTTCTCACTGTGTAGACCGAGCAGGCCTCGAACTCTCTTTGTAGACCGAGCTGGCCTCGAACTCACAGAGAGCCGCTCGCCTCTGAGCCATTATGCTCGGCCCTACGAGTCCCTTTTTTTAAAACCCTAACTGGCCGAGCCCGAAGTTTGCTTATCTGAACCTCAAGGCACGGAAGAAGCTTTGTTGTATGTTACAGAAAACGTTTCTGAGGTTACTATCAATTTATGGTTCAGGAGACAGAGCGGCGCAGTTTATGAATGGAAGGTTTTGCAAAAGTCTGTGTCAAGAAAGAGGCTCGGTGAGCGGCAGTGCAGCAGCCTCCAGGAGGAAGCAAATCCCTGCTAGGTGCTGTGATGTTTAGGAGAAAAGAGGTCAAATGGTTTTCAGCAGCACCAAGGACAGCACTCAGTCCCGGGCCTGACTTTGTGACTTTGGATAAGTCACGACATTTTTGTGGCCAACTCCTCCTCCTCCTCCTTTTCTTCCCGCTCATCCTTGTTCCCTCCTACTGACAAGACCGCATACCGTGAGAGCTAGCCTCAAACTTACCATATAGTCGAGGCTGGCCTTGAACTCTGTTTTGATTTTTTAAGATTCACTTTTTTTTTTTTTTTAATGGGTATGGGTGATCTGCTTGCATGTATGTCTGCGCACCACATGTCTGCAGTGCCCACGGAGGCCAGAGAGGTTGTCATAGCCTCTGGAAGTTACAGATGGTTGTTGCTGTGGGTGCTGGGAACCAAACTGGGGGTCCTCTGCAAGAGCAACAGATGCTCTAACTGCTGAGTTACCTCTCCAGCCCTCGCCTTGAACTCTTGATCTTTCTGGTACCGTGATTACAGGCATTCATCCCCATGTCCAACACCATCCTTCTCTCTTCTGTACAGACCTGTACAAGTGGAAACAGCCAGAAAAGTGTGGCGGTGGCGGCGGCGGCGGCGCATGCCTTTTCATCCCACCTCTTGGGAGGCAGAGGCAGGTGGATCTCTGTGAGTTCCAGAACAGCCAGGGCTACACAGAGAAACCCTGTCTCGAAAAAACCAACAAAACAAGACAGAGATGGGGGAGGAGCTTTGAAACAGTTTACTTGGGTAGAGCAGGAGACCCTGAACATTTATCACCACAGCTAATATTGCTGTTCTTCTAGGGGGTATGGTGGCATTTCTTCCTGAAGTTACATGTGGCCTCGTGATTTTCTTTGGGTAATGACATATAAATAATAGTCTTTTGCCCCACTTGGCAGACATGACAAGCCTCAGAGACACCCACACAGCCTTCTCTCCCTCCTGTTCTTTGGTAGGGAATGGTTGATGGAAGTGAAATTTCCTTCGGCTGAATTCAGAGTGATGGTAGTCAGCACAAACGTGGTGCTGAAACCTTGGATACGTCACATTTCAAGGAAACATCTGCTGTACTAGCCACTGAGCTCTGTGATTGCTCCAGCAGGCCAGCTTCCCGCTTGTGGGGAGGGGGGCGGGTGAGAGGGTCCAGGTGCCCGCCATCAAGTCCGACTACTTGAGTTCCGTACCTGTGACCCATGTGGTGGAAGGACAGAACTGACTCTTGCAACTTGTCCTCTGGCCTCCACGCGCCTGTCTTGGCACATGTGATCTGGCACAGAGAAATAAAGTATACTTTCAAAGCCATTTTTAAGCTGGGTGGTGGTGGCGCACACCTTTAATCCCAGCACTCGGGAGGCAGAGCCAGGCGGATCTCTGTGAGTTCGAGGCCAGCCTGGGCTACAGAGTGAGTTCCAGGAAAGGCTCCAAAGCTACACAGAGAAACCCTGTCTCAAAAAAAAAAAAATCATTTTTAAAAGAACACTAAGCAGGGCTGAAGAGATGGCTCAGCAGTTAAGAGCAAGCACTGGCTGCTCTTCCAGAGGTCCTGAGTTCAATTCCCAGCAACCACATGGTGGCTCACAACCATCTATTATAGGATCTGATGCCCTCTTCTGGTGTGCAGGGATATATGCAGAGCACTCATACATAAAATATAAATAATTAATTAAAAAAGAATGCTGAGCATGTGCACTTAGACCAGATTATTCCAGCCCTGGATATGTATGTAGCCTTTAAAATAAACCTTCTGGACTTGTGTGCAACAGTGCTGATGTAGCAGACATGATGTGCAGGACAATAGGGGTAGTTCTGTAACGGGGTAAGAAACCACGTTCTGATCAGAGTTGAGGCCCACTGTCCAGGAGGTTAGTTAAACCCACGCTGGTAAACCCGCTGGGTGTAGTTAGGTGGAGGAGACGCCAAATCACTTTCAGTTAGGGGATTAATGCAGTGGTAAAACGTTCTAACCAAAATCACATTGCTGAGGAAAGAGTTCATTGGGCCTGCGTGTTCTGATCACAGTTCATTGATCAAGTCAGTAGTCAAGGAAGTGCCCCGTGGGCTTGCCTACAGGCCAGTCTGATGGGGGCATTTCCTCAGTTGAGGTTCCCTCTTCCCAGATGACCCTAGCTTGCATCAAGGTGACCACCACCACCACCCAAACCCAACAAATAACCAGCAACCTGTCAAAAGCCCCTGGCTGGTGTCTTAGTCAGGGCTTCTGTTGCTGTGAGGAGACACCATGACCACGGCAACTCTTATAAAGGAAAACATTTAACTGGGGCTGGCTTACAGTTCAGAGGTTTAGTCCACTGTTGTCATGTCGAGAAGCATGGTGGCATGCAGGCAGACATGGTGCTGGAGAAGGAGCTGAGAGTCCTACACCTCGATCCACAGGCAACAGAAGGGCATACTGGGCATATTCCACACTGGGCATAGCATGAGCGTGTCTGAGACCTAAAACCTGCGTCCACAGTGACACACCTCCTCCAAGGCCACACCCAGTCCAACAAGGCCACACCTCTTAATAGTGCCCCTCCCTATGGACCAACCATTCAAACACATTAATCTATGGGGCCATTCCTATTCAAACCACCACAAGGGGATGAAACGAATGTAAGAACCAGGTCATGGGGGTAGGTGGTGTGGACAGACCACTGGCTATTCTTTCACAGGACCAGGGTTTGATTCCCAGCATCGACATCAGTTAGCTCACAACTGCCTGTAATTCCAATTCCAGGGTATCTGATACTATCTTCTGGTCTCTATGAGTGCTAGCGTGCACATGATGCACATATATATGTGCAGGCACACACAAAAACATATAATTAAAAATAAAACTATCTTTAATTTTTGTAACACACATCTTGAAAGTTCTTATTAATAAAAAAAAAAATCCAGAGACAGGTATTGGGGTGAAAGCTGAAAGGTCAGAGAGATAGGACAAGCCACAACCGACTTCACCTTACCAACTCCTCAGCCTCCAGAGAGAGCTACTTCCTGTATACTCACGCCTATATACCTTTCTGTGCCCTGCCATCTCACTTCCTCTCTGCCCAGCTACTCACCTCCTCTTCCTGCCCAGCTCTATCACTTCCTGTCTGTCTGTACAGACCTCCAGACCAGTTAACCTCAATGGTTAACTACTGCTGGGATTAAAGCCGTGTGTTACGACGCCTGGCTCCGTTCTCAGTGTGGCCTTGAACTCACAGAGATCAGCTCTCTGCCTCCTGAATGCTAGGATTAGGGCTTGTGCTACCACTGCCTGACCTCTATGTTTAATATCATGGCTAGCTTTTTCCTCTGATCCTCAGATAAGCTTTATTGGGGTGCACAAATAAAATATCACCACCAATTTTTATTTTATTTAATTTAAGCATATATGTGTATGGGCGCCAGCAGAGGCCAGAAGATGGAGATGTATTCTCTGGAGCTGGAGTTCCATGAATTATTGAGCCATGTAATATGGGTGCTGAGAATAAAATTCAGGTCTTTTTTTTTTTTTTCAGAGCTGAGGACCAAACCCAGGGCCTTGCGCTTGCTAGGCAAGCACTCTACCACTGAGCTAAATTCCCAACCCCTGTTTTTATTTTTCAAGACAACGTTTCTCTGTATAACAGTTCTGGCTGTCCTGGAACTTACTCTATAGACAAGGTAGGCCAAGAACTCAAGAGATTCACCTGCCTCTGCCTCCCGAGTACTGGGATTAAAGGTGTGTGCCACCACCACCCAGCTTGTTTTGTTTTTCAAGACAACGTTTCTCTGTCTGTGCAGCCCTGGCTGTGGACCAGGCTGGCCTCAAATTCAGAGATCCACCTGCCTTTGCCCGCCAAGTGCTTGGACTAAAGTCGTGTGCCACTACACTCTGCTTGGCCAGAATCTTCCTGCTCTTCCACAGGACCTGAGTTTGAGCAGGTGTGCTGACACACGACTTTAGATACATGCCAGTACTCACAGAGGCCAGAAGCAAACGCTCATGATTTTATCATCTTCATAACAAAATCAGCTTAGTTAGAACTGGGTCACTTGGCTTTTTCTCTTCTTATCTCCTCCCAGTTCAAAATGCTTTCGTCTATTTTTTTTTTTTTCAAGAACTCACAGAGATCCTCCTGGCTCTGCCTCCCAAGTGCTGGGTTTAAAGATGTGGGCCACCACCACCCGGCCAAAATGCTTGCATCTCAAAACTAGTCATCCAGCAGCCAAATAGTACTCAGGTGAGCCAGGTACTGCATGGGCACTTGACCCCCGGTTCTTAGAACTATGGTGTTTTTCTGTTTTTAAATAAACTGAAGAGATAGCTCAGAGGTTATGAGCACTAGCTGTTTTCTGTAGAAACAGTGTATCAGGCCGGGAATGCAGCTGTGTGGCAGAGTGCTTGCCTGGTATGGGCAAGGTGCTAGGTTCTCTCCCCGGCACAGATGGAGAAGGTGAGAGAGAGAGAGAGAGAGAGAGAGAGAGAGAGAGAGAGAGAGAGAGACAGAGAGAGAGAGACAGAGAGGAGACAGAGAGAGACAGAGACACAGAAAAACACAGACAGACAGAGAGACAGAACAAACCAGGACAAATAGTAGATAAGAAAATGTAAGCAAAAAAAAAAAAAAAAAAAAAGGTATCCTAACAATACCTTCAACAGTAAATCTTTTATTTTTGAGCAATGGTCTTACTACATGATCCTGGTTCTCTTGAAACTTACTATGTAGGCCACATTGGCCTCAAACTTAGACAGATCTTACTGCCTCTGACTCCTGAGTTCTGGGAATAAAAATATGATTATCATGTCCAATTATTTATTTATTTATTTTTATTTTTATTTATTTATTTATTTTTTTGGTTTTTGAGACAGTGTTTCTCTGTGTAGTTTTGGTACCTGTCCTGGAGCTCGCTCTGTAGACCAGGCTGGCCTCGAACTCACAGAGATCCACCTGGCTCCCAAGTGCTGGGATTAAAGGCGTGCACCACCACTTCCTGGCCTTAATGTTATTTTTAATTGTACTATTTTTATTTTGTGTGTATGAGTGTTTTGCTTGCATGTATGCCTGTATGTATGTCAGATTTAAAAAATTGTCTACAGGCTCCCTGACACCAATATTTTATTTAAAAAAAATTGAACTAAGGGGACTTAGGCGATGGATCAGCCATTTAAGAGCACTGGCCACTCATCCAGAAGACCTGGGTTCACTTCCCAGCACCCATGTGGTCGCTCAGAACTGCCTGTAACTGTAACATCCTCTTCTGACCTCCTCAGGCACAAGGCATGCATGTGGCTCACAGGCACACATGCAGGCAAAACATTCATATGCATAAAATGAAAGAAGTAAATATTTTAAAGATTAAAAAATAATGTCAAACAAAAGTTGCAATACTCATGTAGTGAATATTGATACATGCATTTTCCTATTTTAAAAGGCATCTACAGCTTAATCAGGCTCGTTTTTAATGTATTTATGTATGCATTTGTTTGCTTACTGCAGGGGGCACCCATGTGTCAAGAGGCACATTCGGAGGTCACAGGTGCAGTTCTTCCTGATGCCGTGGGAGGCCCAGGGATGAATTTCAGGCCTTGAGCCTTGGTGACAAGCACCCTTACTAACTGGGCCGGCACTTCCCAGTTTTGTTTCAGGTTTTAAATCTTATTTTATTTTTTAATTGTGTGTGT